GATATTATTTTTAAGATCTCGTAGAATATTTGATAGATATCTTGTTTACTACTCTATGACACTCTATATAAACAGGGTCGTTTCTAGGGTTTAAGGAGGCTGAGATGGAACAAGTCTCAAAGACTCCACCTCCTCCCTACTACCAAAGATTGTATGTACATAGTATGAATTAAGCCGACAAGGCCCCGTACTATAAACAAATATCAAAACCCTAGCCCTTTGGAGAGAGGAATCAAGAGATCTACGAGAGTTGTAACCCACAAATTATCAATGAAATAATTGTTCCCATATATTTTTCTACCTCTTTATTATGTATTGCAGGTTTGATTTTTTGTGGTTTATAGTGTTGTTGGCAAGAATTGCTTTCTGATCTCTTCCTTCATTACATCCCATGAAGATATGGGATCTTTTTCTGGCTACTCTATCCGCTTCTTGGCGAAATCTCCACCACAGTTTTGCATCAGCGGAAAGATACAGTGCGGCCAAATCAACTTTGCCACCATCTCCCCGATTGGTCACTTTGAAATAGTGTTCCAAATCCCAAATAAAATTTTCTAGGGTCTTAGAGTCCCTAGATCCATCAAACGATTTCGGTTCTGAAACCTTAGCACGATCCCCAGATGAAGATGTTTTCTCTTCAACCAATTTGCGAAGAAGAGAAAGTTCTTCTCTTAGATACTTCAACTCCGCTTCCGTCTTGTAGGGAATAATTTCAAGCCTTTAAAATCCCACTAGCTTGAACCTCACTGTGATCATACACTAAAGTACGGTGGCGTCCAAAAGGGAAGAAGATAGAGCAAAAGAGTCGCCAACAAGTTTTTAAGGAACTTGTAAACCGTTCACGAGGTGAAGGTTACACCCCTTAACGATCCAAGAGATCGTCAACTCCATAAGGTCATGAACCAAATAAGGGTTCGGGGATGAAGGTACAAATCCAACCTAAAAGAGATTGAACCTGCCCTAATAATAGGCCTCTACTTTATTCTGCTCGTATTCATGTGCGCTTTCTGATTAATATGCAATCAATAGGATTAACCCTAAACCTGTTTAATCTATGTTGGTTGAATTTAATGCACAAATAAACTATTATTGACGATCACTTGAAATTATAATCACAATTAACCCTAAACAAGATTATTAATTATCTTATTAAACGTGATTACAAGTACCAATTCCCTTTAAACATGCAATAAAGGTGATCAAGCAATAAATAATAAAATATAATACATATCAAGCAACATAATAAATAATCAACATCATTAATAATAATAATATCAATCATAATCATCTTAAAGCATAGCAAGATCCTAGGCATGATACGAACAAGATTAATAACAAACCCTAGCATGTCACTAAGCAATAAAAATCAAATCTTTAGCCCTAACATGATACTAACAATCATAAATATTAGGAAGAGAATAAAAGGCATCATACTTTTAATCATACTTAATATTAAAGTTACCCTAAACATGATACTAGGAATCAAAATAACAATCTAAGCATGATTTCTATATCATAAATCAATTAATCAATTAAAGTAGTTACTTGGATGCCTCGTACCTCTTTCTAATAACAAAATACACACGTTAGTAATTTCAAGGAAAATAATAATCAAAACAATTAAATTAAATAATTGAAAGAGAGATTTGGGACTAAACCCTCAGAAATTAAAACCTTTCACGTCTAGGGCGAAGGCAACTTCAAATATGGTTAGGTGTTTCTAGATCTTGTGAATGCGGAATTTTGTATGTAAAACAAAGTTTAGAAAAGAATACTAAAGAATTAATGTTATTGAAAATTGATGAATAATGTAGATGATGAATGAAGAGAATTAATGAATGGTAATTGATGATTGTTGATGCTTGTTGATGATTGAAAACGGAGTTTTTGATACGATATTTATAGAGAAAAAACATCCAAAAAAGATAATTTATCAAAACAGAGTCTGAAGACCACAAAAACACATTGGCGCCACACCTGGCTCATTGGCGCCAGGACCAGGCGCCAATGCTGGCGTCTGGCGCCAATCCTGGTTCCAGGCGCTGGGGTTGGACGCCAATTCGGAATTCAACGCGTTTCCGAAAATCTGATAATTTTACCGTAGTGGAAGATAAAATAATATAATTTCAGTCGAAAATGCTATTTGATCTAATTAAAACTTTGAAGAGTCCTAATTGAATTAAGAATGATGAGAACCTTCTAGAATGTTCTAGAAGACCAAAACCATTCCTAATTGCATTAGGAATGATAAATCATATTAGGCCCTCCCCTAGATCATTGGGCCGTACATAAAGCTCAAACCGGGCTCAGTTTAGTAAATTGGCCATAACTTCCTCAATATTTATCGGAATTGGGCTTATAATATATCGTTAGAAAGGTCTTTGCAAGCCCCATCCAACTACACCACTATTGGACCCATATCATGGACCAACCAAACTGGATTGGCTGTTTTCTTAAAATAAAGTTTTCAAAAAACAGAGAGGAGAGAAAAGAAAAGAAATAAAACTTTCCGCAACACTAGACCTTTCCACACTTTCGTTTCATTCGATTATGATTCGACGTGAAAGGTACTCATCACTGGGTTTGGTTTTGGGGAGACACAAATGGGTGTCTACACGTCTCCATTTCTTTCTTCTTGTATAAAGGAGTACCATTAGGGCTAAACATCTCCCTTTGCTTTCACACAAGATTTTGTATCATCCCATTCATTTCGTTCAGTTATTCATAAAGTAACTGAACTGATTCGCGTATTGTACTAGGGGGAAGATCATCGTTTCCCAAGCCTAAGTACTTTTCGATCTTGGCCAAAGAGACCTTGTTTTCTTCGGAGAACTTCAACATTTTTCTACGAGTTTTAAGTGACTGAAGTTTTCGAAAGAATGCTAATTTTGTGGGACTAAGATTGAGGGCCAGGACTTTGTGGGGGTGGAAGCACTCTCAATGGGATTGGATCGTTGTGATGGTAATTGATTGAGTAACAACAATGATTGGGAAATAAGTAATCCAAACCTTCCTCAACACTATCTTTTAATTTGAGAATCAAGTTCCTTGCGACGATGAGACTTCTCTTTCTTCAATCTCTTAATTTCTCGTAAGTAAGGAGCAACAGGACGAGCAACCTTCTTAGCGATTTTCTTTGGAGGAGACATATAAATGCAACAAGTCTATCGTAAAAACCCGCTCTCAGTTAAATTTTTCGCTAACTATGATGGCGTTAGATATACTAACTAGCCTAACTTCTCATACTAACTTTATATAAGAATGCACAATATAATAAACACGATAGAACACTTAGGATATACCACAAAGCATACTTTTATTAATATCATTAATACCGTATTTAAACAATAAATCTGGATGCCTTGGACAGACCTAAGGTCATCTATTTATAGGCAAAGGAGGACAACCCCCTCCAATGCGAATAGACACTAATCACGCATGCATGCCAAGTGACGCTCATGCAATTAACCGTAATCTAATACAAGTCAGCAATCCTAACCAATATGTCGCGGATCGCCACCATCATCACTCATGTCTCTTCGCTCCATTCAAAATGCCTTTGCCCATAAACCGTCATCCACATTGTGAAGTGTCGCTTCGCCTTGGCCAAGCATCCAATCCTTATCCATAGATTGTAACCGTTCACATAACTGTCATCAAGCTCCAAACAACGCCTTGCTTTAAATTCCAAAGCATCCCTTCACATACGGAATAACTTCCAACATCGGTGCTAACTCCCGCTAGGTATTGCACCCACGTGCTGCCTCGTCAGCACATTGCCAGAGCCCAAGCGTCGCGTTGCTTCGCAACACCGCACCGGTGCCCAAGCATTGCATCGCTTCGGTGTACCGCGTGCCGTTGACTGAGCAATGCTCCGCACCAACGCCGGTGCCCAACCGACGCGTCGCTTCGCAGCCATGTAGAGCACGTACCAGCAAAGACTCGCCATGAGCCTTCGCTCAAACCCAAATCACTTAGCCCACTAAGTTACCAAGCAAACCTTGTGCCCAAGTTCTAGATAGCCCACACCATACTTAGAACCATGCATCATGGCCTTAGCCGATGATGCGCCCATGGCCGCACCAAGCCATGAGAGACACCTTCCCCCTATAGAGCTTTATTTTGCTCTACGCTTGTAAACCTAGTGAACACGCCAGTGACAGAAACACAATAATGGACTATTGTCCCAAACCCTTGGGTCCAACGTCCATCCAATGAACCTTAGCTTACCAAGCTAATATATAGAGGCAACCATATGCCTTTATTTACTTATTAACCATGCCATAGGGTCATATAGTAATATGTACAAGGCCTAGCACCTAGCCAAGCCGTAGTGTGCCCTTGTCTAGGCACGCCATGCGGCGCATGGCTCAATAGGGGTCTTATACTTATACACTGTAGACCCTTAAGATCACATGATATGAAAACTGTATGGGTTATCTTTCAAACCTAGATGCATCTACTGCTTTTGTGGCATTCTTGAGCCTACATATCACATATGTCATGGAAAATGTCTCCACAGTTCACAAGTTTTTATTTTGAACTAAAGGCCAGGTTTCATACATGTTGATCTCCTGAAGAGTTGAATTGGATCGTTTAACTCATTAAGGGTCTTATCTCATGCCACATATCCTCCTCTTTGTGCCACATTGTTGCTAGGCTGTTCTTCTGTAGTTCATATTGGTTTTATTTGTACTTTTGTTAGTTAATGTTAATAGTTTGTCAAAGTAAGAGAGGTTGAAGTATAAGATGAGACACACAACAGGGTAGTAGATCTCTATCATCTTAAACCCCGCCTACAGCAAAATAAATTCTGGCGGGTTATTTTTGGTGTCCTTAAGGTGGGCCCTCCCTTCTCTATGTTTTTTTTCCCTTTTCATTTAAGCATGGAAAAATCATTCTTATAATTAAGGTTGACAATACTATTTAAGTTTTGATTTTGTGTAATGTTGTATTTAGGTATTATTTTTATCTTCTTGATATATAGAATTTTGATGCAGGGTTTGGATACTCAGAATCCAGTACTGACCATTGGGAATAAATTGAAGCTGGTGAGTCTCTTGATCCTTATGATTTCTTGCTAATGCTCAAGGTACATTTTTCTTCTCATGTTAAGTACATCCTGAATTTGGTCAAAGTTATCTTGCCCTGATTGTGTTTAATCACCTCATCTAATGGGTATAAGGGCATGGTCGAGTTAAGGACTATTATAGATACTATTTCTGTGTTATTTTGCATTCAATTTTCTCTTATATCTCACTGTTTCTAGGACTCAGAATACAGTAGGAGCAGATTCCTGGCCAAGTTATCCCTTTGTTATCTTTTCTTTTTTAAAAAAATCAACATATTAAACTATGGCTGAACTAAAGATTTAGATCAAGAAACAAAAAATTCAATCTTCAATTTCAAACTAGGCTTTGTTTCTATTTATTTATTTGTTTGTTTTTTTTTATGGTTGATAATAAATGGTGAACTTTTCAGTATGCTTCATTGCCAACTGCCAAGTGCATTACTTTCTTGGATTTAGGCATTTAGCCCAAGGTCCGAATCCTCTATCCCACTCATATGTCCCATTTCATGTCCCATTCGTTTTGATTGGTCCACGTCACTTTAAATATCAATATTAATATTAAAAAAATTTAATAGCAAATTAAATTAAATAAATTTTACATAATTTATATTTTAGTCCTTATCTTTTTTTTGTTTCTCCTTTACACAATTACGTTTAATTCAATCGCATCATTTTTTTCATGTATACTACCTCTATAACTCTAGAAGAATCCTTGATAGACATGATAAAACAATCCGAGCATATCAATCATTATTATAAAAATTCATAATTGAGTAAAGATACAACTTCATTATAAATTCTAAACCTTTAAGAAATTGAAAATGCAGAAAACATACACACAAAAATAAAACTGAGAACTAGATTAGCTTAGTTGTTGAAAAGATGTGAGCACAGAAGAATAAACTAGGCCATAATTTCCATAAGATCTATCCCTCTAGTCATGGAACGTGTGATTCATCATTCTACAACATGCCAACAAGAGATCAAAGTTACAAAGTATCAAGCCAACCAACTATTAAAATATAAAAAAGTATTAAAAGTATTATCAAATTTTACAAGTATGTCATATACTTTGGTTCAAAAAAAAGTATGTCATATACCTCTAAAAAAGGTGTCGGTCTTCTTGATCATTATATGTTTGTGGGACTCCAATTGACATTTGTCCCTATTAAGAAATGCTTGTATGAGTTCTTCTATTAAGTCCACAATAGATATAGTACTACAAGGATATGTAAACTTACATTTAGGAGTTGAGTTAAACTTCCTGAGCCAAGGTCAACACTATCAACATCTTTGTAGAAGAAAGGAGTAGTATAACTGAAATGTGTTATAGGGTAATTATTTGACAATGGGATGGTATAATCCATTTGCCTCTCAGAAGTAGGAGTATAATTCATTTCTGAAAAAGTTGTTTTGTTGACCTGTTATATATACATTAGCTTGAATATTAGTAATTATCAATAAGAAAAAATATTGCAGGTAGTAATTGTAAGACTATATGTATAATCCAAATACCTGATCGTTTGTGCAATGTTTTTTGCGAGTACGACCTTTTTCTAAGGAACTCTTGCAACGAGTAGAACCATTATTGGAGCCATTACCTCTTCCACGCCCCCTACTCCCATGACTATTGCCTCTCATTTTTATTCCTTTCACTGTTGAGGTATTACATTGCAACTCTATATTAACATTTTCTTCACAATCTAAACTCTCTTCCTCATTATCATCCTCTTCTCCACATATCAATTTCTTTAGACGTGCTTCTACTTCCGCTAATGACTTTTGGTGTACATCTAAAGCCCATTTGTAAGTATCTTCACTTTGAGCTGCAACTCCTGCAAAGTGGGTAAATAATTTACCCAATTCTTGAAATCGTATCCTCGAACATATTTTTTCATCTACTTGTCGAGTAGACAACTTATGTTGTTGACAAATTTCAACTTTCACATCCTTTTTCCATCTTTGTAGAATATATTGGTTTGGAATCTTGTGAATATTTTTTGAACAAAGAACCTTCAATGCATGTGAACAAAGTATCCCTACAAACTCAAATTTTCTACAGCTACATGAAATAGTATCATTTTCTGGGTTATATGTAACAAAATGATCAATCTTTTTCCTTGGAGGATAAACTTTATACCTATAAGTTGTGCCAACAACCTCCTCTTCTTCTATTATACAATCCCATGCTTTCCAAATTTGACATTGGAATAACTCAAACACTTCGGCAGTGTAGATAGTTGATGCATGTTTTAAAATTCGAACTGGATATGGTAAAGCTGGAGAACTATGTTTAGTCTTGAAATCTGCCACACTTTCTTCATAACGCCTATCATTCAGAAGACGCTCAAAATGCTCAAAAAACTGACATAAGTGATTTTTATTGCTACTATACCTTCGTAATTGAGCATTCATACTTTCACTACGTTGTGTTGTACTCATATCACCACAGAATGTCTGTCTCCCATAAACTAGTGCCCACTTCTCTCTCAAATTATACACCCGTTCCAACCAACTATTGCCAACCAGATCGTATTTAACTAACATATTGTCCCAAGCATCTATAAAATCTGCTTCATCATCATAATCATAAACACAACTACTAAAATCTTTAGCAAAATCCTTAAATTTCTCAAATACATGGTGAAGATGTTTTGCAGCATTCTGGAGCATTCTGGTACATGTGCCAGACACATAGTCGATGATAAGTTTCCGGCCATTTTGTAGATAATGCATTTGCCATTGCTTGATCTTGATCGGTCAGAATAGTTTTAGGCTTCTTTCCATGCATTGCCTTCACAAATGTGTCAAATAGCCAATTGAAAGTTTCTGTTGTCTCATCATACAATAAAGCCGCCCCAAAAATAATGGTTTGTTTATGATGATTAACTCCAACAAACATAGCAAATGGACGACCATCTTTATGTTTTTTGTAAGTAGTATCAAAACATACTACATCACCAAAATAGTCATAGTCAGACATCATTCTTGCATCAGCCCAAAAAATATTTGTGATGAGATCATCCACATCAACTTGTATGGCATAAAAAAACTTTGGATCATCAGTTTGCTTGCGTTGCAAGTACTCTAAAACCCCGCCGGTATCTCCAACTTTCATTTCTTTATCTCTTTTCTTCCTCAAATAATTATTACAATCTACATGCAGAAAACCAAGATTATCTCTCCCACCAGCCCTTAGACTCATCAACTCCATACTTGCTTTTGGTGCAATGCCAGAAGAGCATGCCATATCAAGTTCACTAGCTTGAGATGAGTTGATACTTCTATGTGAACGAAATAGATGAGTCTTTGATGGTGTTGACAGAACATGATTGTGTTGTGGTTCGAATTTAATGATACGAAATCGTCCATTAATTCGGGAGCTTACTTTTATCATTGCAGAGCATCCAACTCGTGTCAAAGCTCGATGTTTCTTCACATAAGGGGCCCTTTTATCTTTTCCCCTTAAACCTTCAAAAGAACAACAAATGATCCTATCTAGAATAGTACCAGTGTTGTCATCTCTATGAATTTACTTAACCGAATTCCGAATCCAATAGCTCTAGAATATCTGTTGTAGAAATCATAAGCTATATTCTCTGATGCAAACTCCATCCTTATCATTGGAATGGCTTCATTGGGCAGCTTTGAGTGAATTTCATTCATATTTGGCAGAAAATTATCTTCTTCAACTTTATTATCTTCAAAGTTATTTTTAGAGTTATTGACCACATCATCATTATCATTCAATTGCTCATGCTCCTCAAAAGATAATCTACGACTAGTTTGTAATGACCCAATTTCTTTATCAAAATGATAATTCTGTACCACCAAAAATCGCATATAAAAATCAATAAAAATACAATCATCCAAAACCTAAACAACTATATACGCAGTATAATTTTGACAGTACTATGGCTTATACTAATAGTAATTATCAATATGCGATCTAATAGCTACCCTAATGACCAAAAACAAACAAAACATATGCATATAGTATTTCATAGATACGCAATTCAATAAGATTCATACCTCGTATGGTAAATTGTCGAAATCGCTTGTCAGTACTTCTCGTGGAGTATCCATTAAAGTGAATTTTAGTGCTTTAGTATTTATGGATGCAATTAGAGAAAGAATAAATTGAGGTAACTTTAAAAAAAAAAAAAATAGGGTTCTTCTAGAGTTATAGAGGTAGTATACAGGAAAAAAATGATGCAATTGAATTAAACGTAATTGTGTAAAGGAGAAAAAAAAAAAAAGATAAGGACTAAAATATAAATTATGTAAAATTTATTTAATTTAATTTGCTATTAAATTTTTTAAATATTAATATTGATATTTAAAGTGACGTGGACCAATCAAAACGAATGGGACATGGAATGGGACATATGAGTGGGATAGAGGATTCGGACCCATTTAGCCCCTACTACTTTAGAATATATTTTTAGTTTGTAACAATATCCTACCATTTGCAGATTGGAGAATACGAAGAAACAGTCGGAACATGCTTAATCTTTTCAGAGGATGGTGAGTTATATTTTCCTCTGTTATGTGTAGTCTTAAAGAATAAAAATCAAATAAAACATTAGAAAGTCATGTAGCAATATTGAGTTGAAGAACATTTTTTTTTTACGGATTTTTCACCATATACCATTGAGTTAAAGCTTAATTCACCATATACCATAGAAAACTTTCTAATACACCATATAACCTTCAGTTTTACGAAAATTTCACAACTTGCCCTTTTCGTTAACTCGGTTAGTCATTAACGTTAATTGTGCCACATGGCAGCTTATAATTGGTTCTTAATAATATTCTTTATTTAATTAACTAACTTTAGAGAAATTATTTTAAATTTTTTTTTAAAAAAAACACCACCACCTTAGCCATCGCCGCCACCAGCCTAGCCCTGACCCTACCCCCAGCTGACCGGCGATCGTCCCCCCTCCCCGCCGGTGAAATTCCCGACCCCAGCCACCTTTCCCTCCGGAATTCCCAGCCACCACCTGCGAGTATCCCTATCCCTCTCGAATTCCCAAGCACCACCTACGAATTCCCCTTTCCCTCCCGAAATCTCCAGCCACCACCTTCGCGCGACAGCCTAAATCCACTCCCACACGTCGCCGCCGCCCAACTTGCCGAAAACCACCACCCCGAAACCCTAAAACACCAAAATCGAAACCCTAGATTTTGGTTTTAGGATTTCGACATACGTGGTGGTTTAGTTTGGGGTGGAAATGGCACCAATACGGGCGAAATTGATTCGTCGGCGCGGGGGAGGGGGGTTTGGGCGCTGACCGATGGTTAGCGAAGGGTTCTTCGAGGGAGATGGGCTGTTTCGTGACCGGTGGTTCGATTGTTCTTCTAGGATTTCGCTGGTGGTTCAAGAGAAAGGGAGTACGGCGGCCCGACGGGGGTATTCTCGTCGAATTTCAGGTCAGTGCGGGGGTTGTGGTCGAAATTCGGCGCCAACGCAAGGGTTATGGTCGAGTTTTTCGCCGACCGATGGTGGCTGGCTGGGTGGAGGGACGTGGGTGGCTGGAGGGATGGTGGTGGCTGGATGGAGGGACGTGGGTGGCTGGGTTTTTTTCTTTTTTTTAATTAAAATTATATAATTATTTTAAAATTAAGTAATTTAAAAGGGAACCAATCATATGTTGCCACGTGGCCTTATTAGCCTTAATGACTAACGGTGTTAACGTCCGACCGTTAGTCATTAATGGCATGTTGTGACATTTTGGTGTTAACGTCCGTTAGTCATTAATGGCATGTTGTGACATTTTAGTTAAACTGAAGGTTATACGGTGTATTAGAAAGTTTTCTATGGTATATGGTGAATTAAGCTTTAACTCAGTGGTATTTGGTGAAAAATCCGTTTTTTTTATTTCCACTTTGAAATGGGAAGAACACCACAACTTGAACTGTCATTTATGCAACTGAAGAAAGCACAGATTGATTGTGCTGTTTTATATGGTTCTCCTACTTCTACTTGTCAACTTGTGTATATGAGTATATCTAAACAAAGAAATACAAGTATCGTATTAATTTTTTTTAATTATTTGGTAAATTACTTATCAGTAATTTTCTACGATTTTTGGCAGAAAAGACATCTTTAATTCATGAAGAAATAGGACCTTCAGAAGCTAAGCGTTTCAAGAATGATCGTACAGCTGACCCGAATTCGGGTTCATCCAAGCATATAAAGCCTGTAACATCCCTCCACAAGATTCTAAAATTTAGAGTGCAAACCGAAGTTGATGAGAAAGATTTGATGGAGAAACCTCCTGATCCTCCCGCACAAAAAAATGATCCAACTAAGAAGAATTAAGGGGAAGGTTTTTCTTTGGATCCCTTGTCTTGGTTGGGAATAATGACTTGTTCTATGTAGTAATGCTGGTAATTCAGAGCTCTAGTTTGGTCAGGCACTCCATATGCTTTGATACGGATGCATTAAGTAACCTAATATAACATGTACAGGTATGATAGCTAAGAATGCCCTCTATATTTTTTGGGTTGCCTAGTTTAACGACTGCAGAGCGTGCATTCCTGATGTTGTAATTGCTGCCAAAAACGATGAATGAGAATGACCTGTTCTCTCTTTTTACCTCATTTTCAGGTATCCGATTATGGTTTTGAACTATGACATGTAATTTTTTTGTATGCATATTTAATTAAATTCTTGGATCCTCCATTGGAGGGAGAGGTGGACCAAATTGAAGGAGTTTGCTTTAGGTAGTAAAGGAAGGTTAAAAGGAATGGGGGGGCATTTGGTGTGTTGGAAAGATCGGAATTTGGGAATTAGGTTGAAGAATAAAAATTATGTTGAATTAGGGCCTCTTCTCTTCAGCTCCGCTCCAATAAGTTAAGTTAAGTTCAGCTCAGCTCAGTTTAGTCAATCAGAACAAGCCCTTATTGTCCCTTTTCTTCTTTTCCTCACTTCCCATAAATAAAGTACTTAGAAGAGGGGATGATTAAACCGCCTTCTCGCCTTCTCAGTTTTCACCTCACAAATTGCAGAAAAGTGTGAAGAACACTCCCTGAATAAATACATGAGTACATGTATTTTTCTACAATTTTTTTTTAAGGTAAGGAGAAAAACCTTGACTAAACCTCAACACTAATGGTTTTTTTGGTCCGGTATTTGCGGGTCAGTCACTTTGAGAGTGAGGGGGAAAGGTAAGGGATCCTCACCCTCAAAGTGTCTCTAGTGGAGATTGAACCCTGAACCTCAAGGTTGGAAGGTGACAATCTTACTACTAGACCAAGCTTACCTTGGTAAAAACATATATTCCGTTGCCGGGACTCGAACCTAGGTCTCTTGGGTGAGAGCCGAGTATCCTGAGTAGCTAGACTACAACAGAATTTTTCTTCATTAATGGTGACTCATTAGACAATACATGCAACATTTTTACAATTTAAACAACTAATTTACTGGCACATTTGAATTTTCCTTCAAATTTCTTAGAGCAACACTACAATCAAAGCTAAAGATTCTAGGTAGACATTAAACTAGCTTTAATTTGCTTTCGAACTATGAAGATACAAGCCACAAGAAGAGAGTGCACCAAAGAGTGAGCGCAATTGGGGACAAAGCATAAGTCCATAACATTATTACTGAACTTTCACTCTCGACTGTTCCAAACATCTCTGTCATTGTACCTGCAGTAAAATCCATAATGAGCAGCTCGTAACATAGAACGTAAACTTTAGACTTGAAACAAAGAAAATAACATCCAATGTCGATAACTATATATGTTCATTCAAGATTGTTGATCCATAACAAGTTTATATATTGATATTAAAATGTACTTCCATGATCTTTTCATAGAGTTTGTACGTCTTGTAAAAATATAATATAGTGTAATTAATGGTGAAAGCTCAATATATATAATTATGCGCCTTGTAAAAGTAGAGAAACATTTTGGGGAAGAATAATAAAAGTTTAACCGTAAGACCATAATCCCAAGGGTATAAATTAGCAAAATTCAAACACAGTAAAGCTGTAAAGGTGATGTTACTTACTAATGTTCATTGCAGGTGGCACTGCGTATTGAAGAAGAAGAACAAACATAAACAGAGGATTGAATTGGATGATGCCAAAATGCACTGCTCCGCGCACAATAAGGATGCCCAACAATGGAAGAAATATATACCGAACTGCTATGATTCCCATGACTACACTATGCTGGATTCTTGATCCTTTTATGCCTGAAATTCATCCGACTTATCAGAACTTCTTGATTCTTACACCTGTTAGATTGAAATCATTTTCATAGAACATTGGAGGTAGATTGAGTTTCTAAATATATATACCTCCAACTAGACTTGCCCCTAGTATTAAGGTCATGGCCGGGACTGCTGCATCTCTGTTTGTAATAGCAGTTTTATAGAAAGAATGATATTATTATCTGATATACTGAAATGAAATAAGAGTTCAAGAGTGTATGTTCATAGACTACAGCACTACATACCCAACCAGATAAATGGAGTCCTCAATTATATGCAGGACAGCTTCATTGCCAATAAGCAAATTGCGTAATGCAGGAATCATTCCAATGATAAACCCAAATATCTGCATGATTATAAGAAAGTTACTCGATCAGCATAGTAGAGATTTAGCTTTAGCAGGCTAACATATGACAGCGAATGTGATAGTTCATGGATTTTGTAACTATAATGAAATCAATTATGGTTAAAAATACATGAATGACAAACAAATACTCGTGTGAGTGTATGACATCTAAAAAAATATGGCAAGATAGCCTGATTGCATACTCACAAATTTAAAGAATAAGTGACTAACATAATACTCTGTATAACAGTAAAAATCAATGCAAATTATCACTGTTTCAGCCTTTTAGGACATCCTAAAACAAGGAGCATCTACATGTAACTGTAATTAACAATTGGAGCGAGGATAGAATATACGAGCATTGATGGAATATTAAGAGGAAGGGCGATGAGGAAATACCACTGCAAGAGTTGAAGGTGCCAACAATTCCTTGAGACTGATCTTGTCTAAGAATTTGATTATCCAATTCTTTATACTAGATGAGGAAGGAACCTGTTGACTCATAAAAAGGAGTATATCATATAAAAGCAGATTTTAATAGCTTATTTGATCAAACAGTTGTAAACTAATACTTGAAAATTTTACCTCATTTCCTAAATCCCTTAGAGAATAACTTGCTCTACGTAGAAGGGGTTCTACATAGCTCTCTGATGTCGACGCATTGAGTTCATCACTAACTTCAGTACGACTACTTGCAGGTACTTCTTTCTCTAAGAACTCCAATGCAGATAGGCGGACAATGTTGAAAGCATATGACCAGCAAATTATGGCCCCTAACTGAAGCATTTGATCGCCACACAGACAGAGTTGACAGTTCAGAAAGCAATAATATAACAGGCCAACATAATGACATCATACAACTTGATTTCGGTTTCACAATTGTGCTCTACTAATAATTGTGAAGTCATAACTAATTCTTCTATATGTACTATACAGGACCAACGCACGAGGGAGGTGATTGGAACGGATGATCTCAAGGATGGACTATACTATCTTCAGGAGGAGGCATCAATTGCGGCTATTTCGATTGAAGATACCCTTAAACTTTGGCATAAACGGTTGGGGCACCCTTCCGAAAAAGTTGTAAAGCTACTTCCTTTTCTTAGCAATTCTAGTGGTCATTTAAATAAAAATTGTGAGGTGTGTCATCGTTCTAAACACACTAGAGACAAATTTCCTTTAAGTGATAATAAAGCTTCTCGTATTTTTGAAATAATTCATTGTGATCTATGGGGACCTTATGCCGAACCCTCTTCTTGTGGTGCTCATTATTTTTTAATCTTGGTTGATGATTTTTCTCGTACCGTATGGATATATTTATTGATTGATAAAACGGAAGTGTTTAAGATATTTATGTCCTTTATTGCCATGGTAGATAGACAATTTTCACAGTGAATACAAATTGTCCGGAGTGATAATGGTACCGAATTTCTTTGCTTGAAAAATTATTTCCTTGCCCAAGGTATTTTGTTTCAAACCTCGTGTGTAGGCACCCCTCAACAGAATGGGAGAGTAGAGAGAAAATATCAACACATTCTCAATGTTGCTCGGGCCCTCCGATTTTAGGGGGGGCTACCAATATATTTTTGGGGGGAGTGTGCTCTTGCGGCAGCTCATGTGATTAATCGAACACCTTCCGTTCTTCTAAACAATAAAACTCCCTATGAAATGTTGTTTGGAAGCCCACCTTTATTTAATGAATTGCGTGTGTTTGGTTCCTTGTGTTTTGCTCATAATCAAAGGGCAAAGGGAGATAAGTTTGCAAGTCGTAGTCGAAAATGTGTCTTTGTTGGGTACCCCTTTGGGAAGAAGGGGTGGTATTTGTTTGACTTGGATAAAAAGGTTTTTTTTTGTGTCACGCGATGTGCGTTTTTTTGAGGATGTATATCCTTACTTGGATGCCGAATGTGCCAACATTGACCCTAATACGGCTAATATGCAAGCTACAGTTCATATGGGGGACAATGTGGATTCTTTGCCACCCATATATGACAGTGAGGAGGGGCAGCCAGTGCAGCAGCACCCCGTGCCTGCCACCCCACCCTGGCTCACCAGCACAGACCGGACTCGGCAGCAGCAGGGGCTGCCTCCACTGACACGGCAGCAGCAGGGGTCGGGCTTGATGAGGCCACCACGGCACCCGAGTTATTGGGGCGTGGACATCGGCCGAAATATGAAAACACAAAATATCGAGATTTTGTTACTCATACCTGATGCGTGGCATTTATGCCACCATTTTAACCCCTTTTTACTACCGATTTCCCCCGGATTTGTCACTTGCTTATGCCAATTTTAACCCCTTTTATCTTGATTTTAGTCACTTTAGCCCCCTCTCGTATTTTTCCTCCCCTTTTTGTCTTTTCTTCTAGTTTTTACCTCCTTTTTATGTGTTTTGACAGCTCCCAGCGCTTATGTACGATTCACGAATCAATAGCTCGAGTGGAGATGCCAAAGGAGCTTGGCAAAGGAGTGGAGATGCCAGGATGGAGAGGGCGCGCTGTTCTGATGGGCCGCGGGCGCGGGCTTGTAAGCCGCGGGCGCGGACAGGAAAAGTCTGAAGCCAGCAGAAGAAAGTGGAGATGGCGAGCCGCGGGCGTGGAGCATATGTGCCGCGGGCGCGACATTGGCCCCGCGGGCGCGGCACTTAGGCCCGCGGGCGCGGCTTTCTGGGTTTTACGAGGCTATTTACCCAGCTTGGAGAGGGCGCGGCTGCCTGTTCGGAGAGCCCTCTCCCTTGCCCTTTTTCTTCCTTTTGGTAGAAGACTATAAATAGTCCCTTGCTTGATTTTCTTAGCATCCACTATTCCATTGGCCCCAAAAATCATTGGTAGAGAGAGAAGTTCATGGTTTCTAGAGAGAGAAAACACTAGTGTTCAAGATTCAATCTTTGTAACCAAATATTCAAGCTTTCTTCTAGATTGTTGCTACTACTTTGATGATTTGGTAATCTTTAATCTTTATAATATCAATCTTTACTTTTGTTTCTCTAGTTTTTGATCTTCTTTGTTTTATTGCTCTTACTTGAGTTTATTTCCATAAATATTCAAGCTTTATTAGTTTCTTTGATTTTCCTTTCAAGTTAGAATCATGTTAGGTTGTGTTGGTATTGAATACATGCTTATGTTAGTTGTTATGGCCATTCCCTTCCTTCTAGCTTAGGTTTTTAGCTAGGGAAGGGGGTGAAAATCATGTGTATTTGAATATCTATTGATTATTGATTGGGACTTATTCTTGAGTTGATGATTTGAGCTATAATATGCTTGGAGTTAGTATGTGCACCTCTAATCCCAAGAATCTAGCCCTTGATTGAATGCATGAGAATGATTTAATCTAGGTGTGAATGATTTCGTCGACTTGCTTAAGTAGTTGCATGAGAATGAACTATTTTAGGTAGAGTTTATACTCCTAGAATCGGTTTCCTTTCGGTTTTCACTAGTACTCTTTGTTCATGATTGAATCCCCCTTTCCCTAGTGCTTTTGTCATTGTTATCTCTATAATCTTGTCCATTTAATTGCTTTTAAAAGTGTTTAATCTATTTCCCTTATTTCTAGTTTATTCTAGGCTCAATAGTAGTTAGTTTGTCCATAAAATTCTTCAACACAAATTCAAATACCACCTTTTGTTATTAGCAATTTCTCCTCGATTTCGTATTAATTGTGTTAAACCCCCGTTTCCTTGGGAATCGACCCTACCTTACCGCTATCTAAAGCAAAATTTGATAGAGCTAGGATAGGAGTTATAAATTGTAATTTTGATCTAGGATAATAAACTAACGACCTATTGTCCACCGATCAAAAATTTTGGCGCCGTTGCCGGGGAAACGGCTAGTTTTGCACACTTATTTGCGTAATTTGTGGATTTTGTTGCTTTTTGTTTAGTTCCTTTTCCACTTGCTAGTCATTGCTAATTGTTTGTTTAGCTTTGGTGAATGCAAAGAAGATCTCAAGGACCACCTACTCACAACCTTGATCACGAAATCGACCGAACCTTGAGACAAGTCCGTAGACTCTATCAAGAAGAGGGAAGAGGTTTTGGTGCAATTTTTGATAGTGAAAGTGATTCTTGTTCCTCACATTCCCAAGGTGACGAAATGGCGGGACAACAAGTGGATGTATTATTCCGTGAGTTCGGTAATCCGGAGGATTATGAGCTCACCGGTGGGATATTGTTACCCGTCACTGAGACTAACTTCACCATCCATCCTCAATACACACGAATGGTTCAAGCGGAGCAATTCTCGGGTTTGCCAAGTGAAGACCCCATTGAGCACCTTGATAGGTTCCTCGAACTATGTGCCATGATACAAACCAACCAAGTTTCTCAAGAATACATCCGGATGCACCTATTTCGGCAATCTCTTGCGGGGAGAGCAAAGAAGTGGCTCAAGCAAGTCAAGCCTAATTCTCTCACGACATGGAGGGAAATTGTGCAAGCATTCTTGAAGAGATTCATCTCCGAGGAGAAAACCGCCGAGATGAGGAGGAAGATAGCATCTTTTGAACAAGAGGCGGAGGAGAGTCTTAGTGAAGCTTGGGAGAGGTTTAAGGAGTTGGTGCAAGCATGTCCTCACCATGAGTACAATCAAAGCTTACTCATGAGGTTCTTCTATGATGGTTTGGAACCGATGTCCCGAGCTAATTTGGATGCGGGAGCGGGTGGACAATTGATCAAAGTCCCTCAAAATCAAGTTGAAGCAACGATCGAAGAGGTAGTTAAAAATTACTCTTGGGGAGGAAGAAGGAGGAATGCACCAAAGAAAGGTGGGAAGTATGAGTTGGAGAAGGTCGATCAATTGCAACATCAAATTGAGATGTTGACAAAAGGGCTTGCCAAGTTGAATACAAGTGTTGCTAGTGGTTCAAGCTCCTCCCAAGTCAACTCTTTCTCTTGTCAAAATTGTGGTGGCACCAACCATGATACATCCTATTGTGGCGGGTTGAGCCTGGAGCATGTAGCGGCATACAACACAAGGCAAGAAGGGTATAGGGGAAATGGTGGAGGAGTAGCTTGGAGACAACCACCACCTGGATTTGCAAACCAACCTCAACAATGGAATCAACAGGCTCAACAACCATACAATTCCAACACCCAATATCAAAACCCTCCTCCATTCCAAACCCAAAATCAAAGAGGAAACTACCCAAGAAACAACTAACACAATAATCAACACCAATACCAAAATCAAACCCAAGCAACTCAAAGAAGTCAAGAGCAAGCATCTCAACCCGATTCTACTCAAACTCAAATTCTTCAACAACTTCAAGCCATGAATCAACAAATGCAAGAAGTCAAGGCTCATAACAAGATGGTTGATTCACAACTAGCATAATTGGCCGAGAGAGTTTCTTTTAACTCATCTTCCACTTTTCCCGGACAATCACAAACCAACCCTTCCAATATTGTAAAACCCGACTCTTGCAAGGCAATCACATTGAGATCGGGTACATCTTATGAGAGTCCCTAGGAAGAGGATGGTAAGGAAAAGGAGGGAGAAGAAGAGATGAGTGATGATAAGAAAGTTGAAGAAGAGAAGGTTGATGAGAAAGAGAAGAGTATGGAGAAAAAGAAGAATAAGGATGTGGTGACATCCTCAACTTCTAGTGAGGCTAGAAACCTTGATGGACCGGTTCCTTTTCCCGGTCGGCTTGCGGAGAGAAAATTGAACGATAAATTTGCAAGGTTTCTAAGTGTGATGAAAAACTTACACATTAACCTCCCTTTCATTGAAGTTGTCACACAAATGCCTTCATACACCAAGTTCTTGAAAGACATTCTC